AAAAAAAAAGAAAGAACGAAAGTGAATAAGAGCACAAATTTGCCCATTACTTAGATTCTTAAAATTTATGCATGATTCGATAATGTCTAGAGTAATAAAGGTCAGAAATATTAATCTTAGGTATATATATTCCAAATATTTTCACGAACATTATTTTTTGGTCGAAAAATTTAGTTGAAGTTCTTTCAGTGTTCACTAGAAAAATGAATTCCACTAAACTGCTTCTTTTGCTATTTAGTCATCTGGAATTTTAAAATTCTAATAACATGTTATAAACTTTGACCTCAATCTTGACTATCCAAACAACATTTTAGTGGAATTCATTTCTTTTACTGAACCTTGATGGAGATGTCGATTGAATTTTTCGACTAAAAAAAACGTTCGTGAAAACATTTGAAATAGATATAAGTCGACTCAGTTTTTGATATTGACTAAAAATCTATTAAATACATGACAAAAGAATAAAAAACTATTTTTATTGAATAATGTACTTGAAATTTCTCAAGTGACTAGTTTGAAAAATGCTGTCAAATGGTACATAAAGAATTACTACAACAGAACCTTATGCGTCTCCATCATTCGAGAAGCTAACGACTATCTGAAATTACTACTAAACGACTACGTCTACAATTCTCCATCGAGTTCATACATAAATTTTAATAATTTAATAATTTAAATAATGGGCAGATTTGTAGCCTTATGCGCTTCCATCATTTTATATCAATCAAATGTTTATCGAATAATTCTTCGTTGTGATTCTAATAATTTTTCTCGTTCTTCAATCATTGTCATAGCCTATTGGAATAAAATAAAATACAATTCTATCGTGGTAAAATAATAATTTTGATGTAATTTACCCAATTAAAAAATGCTGATAAACCAACAGATATTTCAGTAACACGTATTAAATCATAATTTTTTAATATATCTTTTGCTTCACGTGCTTTATCAACAGGTATACTAAGTGGATTTAATTCATAACATCGACGACGTACACTTTCTCTTCCAAAACGACCTAATATATTTTGAATCTGTGGCCAATCCTTAGAAAAAATGAATTTTAACAAATACATAATTTTTAAATATTGTATTACTTGTATTTCTTTTTCTGAATGTCCAAGAAGTAAAAATGTCGCACGCATCACTGTTGAAACTTCATCTGGTGGTTTTGCATAACTATGTAGTTCAGCAATTGTTGATTGATTTAATCGAAGTACTTTAATTCTAGATAGAAAATCAAAATTCAAGTGAAATAGTGGTTTTTTTTCTGTTAGAAAGAAGTTTACAGTGTATCATGCTTATAAAATGCATGCGAGAAAAAAAGGAAAGAGAGTTAAAGCTTAACTACCTTCCCCAAAGTACAGGTGAAAATCTAAAGAAGTAGGAGAAGCTGCAGTGTCTATGAAATCTAATCAATATTACATACCTCATATGTTCAATTTTCATTAAACGATTTAATAATTCTAATGCTCGTTCACATTCATATTTTAATTGGTGAATATAATTATAATCTTTAACTTGTCGAACAGCTTCTTCAAGTGATGGAATTGTTCGTTCTTCAATAGCTGCTAATAAATCTAAATAAAAAATTTTGTCATAGAGTTTTGATAGTTTAATAAATAATACCTCGACGAATTTTGTCATAATTACTAATATATGGTGGAAATGGTTCTTCAAGTTGAGAAAGATTTTTTACAGAAAGTGGAGTCAGAGGTTTTGTTGGTAATGGTGATGTGGGTTTTTTTGATGGTACAGTTTCAAGCGGTTCGGATGATGAAGTCGCAAGTTGTTCTGCTGAAGAAGACATAGGTGGTAATGATGGAGTTGCAGGTTTTTCTAGTGGAGAAGATATACGTGGTAATGGTGGAGTTGGTATTCGAGGAAATGATGGAAGTATAGGTGGTGTTGTTATTGGTATTGCTGTATCACCAATAGGTACTGGTATTGGTGATTCATGTCGACTAGTTGGTTTAGTTTCTTGTACTGTAAATGATTTAGAAGTAGTTGTATCATTTGGACATGGTTGTATTCGTTCTTTAAGTACATCTTCGACTAATAGAAGAAAAAAAAGTATTTTGTTTTTTGAAATTAAAAATAAATCAATCAATTAATTAAATAAATATTATTTACGTAAAAAATAGATAAGTGTCATAAGAGCAAGAAAAGAAAGAACAATTAGAAGAGCAGCTAAAATTTGACCTTGAATATCTAAATGAAAAAGAAAGTTAATAGGAAAATATATGAAAATTTTTCATTTCTAACTTTTTGATTGAATACTACAGCAACTGACAACAGCAATTAAAAATGCAAGTTCGACAAATATTATAATGATTACAGATATTAAATGAGATTTTCGAAGAACTTTTTCTATAACAAAAAAAAATTATTTTACTGCATATAGAATAATTTGTTCTTCAAAAACCTCTTCGTGTAACATAAACAAAAGCAGCAACTGATGTTGCAACGAGTAGAACAGCCAATGATGCAAGTAAAATAATTACAATTGATAATCGTCGATTGTAACCGATGATTGTCATCGATGATATTATCGAATTGTCAAACATCATATAATTGTTCACTGAAGATATTTATTCGTCTATTCTTTTGTGGTTACATAGACACAATAAAGAGAAAAGAGAACAATCACGAGTTCTCTATGAGTATGTCTTTCTTTCATATAGATGAAATATGAAGAGAGAGAGAGAGAGAGAGACAGACTATTTGTAATTCGAATACCGAAAGACCTATCAATAGGCAGGCATACATGCACAGAAATAAATGATGAAACAAGTTGGTTGTCTTAGAAACTTTACTTGTGGTTGTGTTTACATTGAAATATGTAGAACAATAATTTTATATTCTACAAAACATAGTGTCTGTTAGGTAAAGAAAAACAAATAAGATTTTCGCACCGCTGAAGGACACTAAACTATACTAAAATTGAATAAATATCGTTGATTTGTATCTATTTGATTGGAAAAAAGTTATAATCGATTTGAAAACTATATTTTTTTCAGTAATGATAAGAAGAAGGTACCAATTGTCGGCCATCAATACCATAGTGATTCTTATGCATTTTGATTAAATTAAGGTCATAGAAAAGATTGTTTTAATTCAATGACACTATATGATTGTACTCATCCTCGTCTCTCTCACTTTATTTAACGTTGTACTGCATAAAGCTATAAAACTAATCGAATACTTTTGATGTTCTTCTATGATCATCTCAATTCATTTTTTTTTATTAAAGAATCAAACCGAACGAAAAAAACAAGAGAACTTTACTATTTGCATATAATGTTTATTCCTTAACATATGTCCAACAATAGTTATTTATAGTTTAAATATAAAAGTATCAAAAATTGATTTTTTAAATTGTTATTCAAGTTTGTTAACCTTTAGAATTCTTATATATTTCATTCGTTTATTGATGTTTAAAAACAATAGGCAATAATTTTATTTCGAAATATTTATTTGTTTTCTATTCCAAAAAAAAAAAAGAAACGTACAATAGATCATAACTACAAACTGACATTGGGTTGTGTTCCTGTCCATTTTGCAAGAAATTTCAAACAATCTTGTAATGTTTCACGTCGAATTGATTTTGCCGATAAAACAAATTTATTCCAATCTTCTTTATTTGCCATTAAATTATATCGATCAAAAATAACACAATCAGCAAGTACGGGATAACCAGTAATAAGACAAGGTGGTGCACGTTCATTTGTTTCAGAATTAATTAATGAAAATTCAATACAATTACGAGCATCACGACGAAGTGCAGGTTTTACCTAAATTTAAAAAAAACAGGTAGAAATCAATCCGCAACAGAAAAAAAAAGTAGCAAGGGAATCTTTTCAACTTGAAAATCATTTTTGAGTTCGAACCAAAGAGGCAAAAAGCGAGACTTCAACATCCCATTCATACTTTAGAGTACCAAAGTTTCACTTTTCCTTTCTGGTTCAGACTGTGTGCATAAGGTAGACCATAATGAGATATTAAGAACTCTAAAATGATAAGAACTTCTAGACCTTCCCAACAAAGTTATAGATATTTTACTGAAATTTTAGCGTCGTACACAGTATACACAAAAGAATCGAATGACAATATTTTGACCTGAAATTATTAGGACATTCTAATCACAATTAGACCAATCTATAGACAAAACTGAGAAAAATATATTTTTGATCACCAATATTTTTTCGAGTTGTGAGTTTTCATTATCTCTTCTCGGGTACTTCTACAAAATACACACAAATTTTCATCTATATTCAATACTTTGTTTCCAGAGATCAAATAGATTTTTCTAAAAAAGACACTTTTGAAATAAAGATATTGTCATGATCCGTAAGGTGTCTAGTTTGAAAATTCATAAAAATGACTTCCAATTTTAAAAGTAATGAGTTTTTAGAGTTCTTCAATGAAAAGGCTAACCCCGAAATCCATAGGAAAATTATAGTTGCACTGACAGTTGTTATCCCCTAGCATAGCCCAACGTGTAGCTAGAAGGTCACTTGATAAGACTTTAGATGAACTTTTAATTGGTACATAATATAATTATATTTAATACTCATGTTAGAAAGTTCTTCATGTAAATATACCAAAAAAAAATGTTTGCATATTTTTGTCGAAACTGGTTTTAACATAAATTGTCGAATTCCGATCAAATTTTTTATTCGATAGATAGATGTATTCTCTTTCGGATGAGAGAAAGCGATTTTGTATTCGGCTTTCAATATCAAAGCAATCATGAGTTTTTTTAGAAAACATTGACTAAGATCTGCAGTAAGAGTACTCCTGCTCCTCGGCTACCTTGTAGTCTGAGGTGATGTCTAGTGACAGATTCAGTAGCCCGACATCTTTTCTACAATTAATACTAGCTGTAGCTTCGGACAGAAGGTCAGCCTGACACAGACTTCTTGCGCTCAATAGCTTAAGCTTCCTACCACATACTAGCCGCAAGAGCAACTGTATGTCATAAAACAATCAGCATGCTATCGGACGGATGATCCGAGACAAACAACTGTTAGTGACTTGACCGGAGTTATTCCATGGCTGGTGACTAGAGCCCATCCGATCCTTCTCGGACTCGGATCTATATAATACTCTGTGAGTATCTATCGAGCAATGTGACCACTCAACCATGGCGGCTCCTAGGATCAAAGCAATTAGGGAATGGGATGCGGGTGTCTAGAAAAGTCACATATCAATTTAAAAACATTGCCTCCTAGATTAATATAGTAATGTGTTTATATTGTTTGTTTTGTACACTAAACTTTGGCTCTTATGCAGGCCAATGACGCCATTAACTAATTGGTCTGATTGATACTAGGAGAATACCACAGAGTTAGAATGAGGTTGTTGTCAATCTGGAGCAGCATTGAGAAATAACAATATGAAATAAATGCTG